AGACCCTCACTGTCCTCAGACCCCGAGACCCTCACTGTCCTCAGACCCTCACTGTCCTCAGACCCTCACTCAGACCCTCACTGTCCTCAGACCCCCACTGTCCTCAGACCCCCACTGTCCTCAGACCCCCACTGTCCTCAGACCCTCACTGTCCTCAGACCCTTCACTGTCCTCAGACCCCGAGACCCTCACTGTCCTCAGACCCTCACTGTCCTCAGACCCTCACTGTCCTCAGACCCTCACTGTCCTCAGACCCCCACTGTCCTCAGACCCTCACTGTCCTCAGACCCCGAGACCCTCACTGTCCTCAGACCCTCACTGTCCTCAGACCCTCACTCAGACCCTCACTGTCCTCAGACCCCCACTGTCCTCAGACCCCCACTGTCCTCAGACCCCCACTGTCCTCAGACCCCCACTGTCCTCAGACCCCCACTGTCCTCAGACCCTCACTGTCCTCAGACCCTCACTGTCCTCAGACCCTCACTGTCCTCAGACCCTCAGAAAAACCCAGTGGGACTCGACCATGTGGTTCTTGCGCCTCGTCCCGTCCCCGTCTTGCCTCGACCCTATATCCTGTATTTTGTATTTGTGCCGATATGCAATCAAGCTGTTGAAAAAGAACAATCAGAAATGTTTCCTCTCCACGGAGCCGACGTGAACGAGCTTTTGGACCACGTCTATCATGTATGGAGCCGTAACCGCGGCTGTTGCCATGGTTACAATGCACTACGTAACTTTCATATCGGACGAACCTCGACCTTTGTTTTGTTCCATGTGCATTTACTGTTTATTAAGACGTCACGGAGAGTTCAAGCCTTAAAGCAGAAGCTGGAGCCAATTTTATTTTATTTTTCTGTGACGGTTACGGAGATTCCATAGTATTGCGATATTTGGGCCTCGATTCAATATTATCACGATTCTTAAAACATCGCGATACAGAACATTGTGATTCTGTAAAACAAGCAGACATCATAGAGTCACAGAAACCTCAGATGGAAATGACCAGTGGAAACACAAAAGTGAAACCCATAATTATTGAATAAATATCACGATACTTTGCTACTAAATATCGCGATACTGAACAGAATCGTTTTTTTCCACCGCTGTTGCTAGGGCATATCCAGATTTACAAAGACGATATCAAAACAAACATAACCAGGATCAGAGAGCGTTGGAGCAAAACTACGTCCATGAGCACTTCCCTATTGAGCTTCATGGAGCTAGCGGGTTAGCATCGTCCATCTGTTTACAGGCTCATGTTTGTGATGGACAGTTTGTTTTGGAAAGTTTAAAGATTCTTTCTATATTAACAATTGTAAACCGCTTTGAGACTCAGATCTGCAGTGAAAACGCGGTATATAAATAAAAGATTACTACTTACTTACTTACTAAAGAATGTATGATTTTCATTTTGTTGTTGATTCTTTCTGTAATAATCAGTATCGAGACTCGAAACAGACGTGACCTCAGACTTGGTCCTTTCCACATTGTGTATTCAAATCCAACAGGTTGCGTTCATGTTGTAGGGTTGTGTTTCAGTATTTTTAACGGTGCCAATGAAACTCTGGGAAAGAAGCCATTTTTGAAAGAAATGTTTTAAAAAATGCCATTTTTATTTTTGTGTTTTCAAGTCCTGTCTCCTAGCAACGTCCTACACATGTTTCTCAGTATTGTTTACACTTCTAGACTCTTTTATGAAAATTCTAGATTATTTCTCTTAATCCAGCAGTTATTATTTCAATTAGTTGTCATCAAATACTGAGGGGAAAAAATTGGATCTATTTTGACAAAGCTGAAGAAAAACCTCAAAATTTGAATATTTTTGTCCACAATATTCAATTTTATTTAAAAAAAAAACACATTTACATAAATCCTGATTTGTTCCTTGATGACTCGATTAAACCGCTGCAGTGATTTAAAAAATACTATGAATATAATTTTTTTATTAATATTAATATATAATTTTGATGATTAACTGGACCAGCCCTGGGTCACTGTGTCCCTTTGACCTGAGGAGCACAGGTACAGGATATTTTAACGGGTTCTTTGGTACAAGGACGAAGGACAGGCTCAACCACATGATATTAACAAACAACGTACAATTACACACACACACACACACACACACAGACACACACACAGACACACACAGAGACACACACACAGACACACACACAGACACACCCAGACACACACACAGAGACACACACACAGACACACACAGAGACACAGAGAGACACACAGAGACACACACACAGACACACACACACAGAGACACACACACACAGACACACACAGAGACACACACACAGAGACACACACAGAGACACACAGACACACACACACACACAGACACACACAGAGACACACACACAGAGACACACACAGAGACACACACACAGACACACACACACTGAGACACACACACATACAGAGACACACACACACAGAGACACACACAGACACATACAGACACACACAGACACACACACACAGAGACACACAGAGACACACACAGAGAGACACACACAGACACACACACACACAGAGACACACAGAGGTAAAGTTGGTCTAAATAGCTGTTTGCGATGAATCCATTTCTAAAATATTCGACCACAGTTAACGTTTGGCGACACATGTAGAGTTTAGTGACACTGGACCCAGGGATTAGAGAAATTGGCTCTGAACCAAAACTGGAATCTGACTTTGGACTGTTACCATAGTTACCACATTGTAAAACTATCTCTGGAAAGTGGTGATGTCACATGAACGCAACCTATTTATTTATTTTATATAGTATCGCAACACTGTCGTCGAGAGAGTTGGTGATTGGCCGACAGCTAATTCATTAATTTAGTTTTATTTTGAAGTCATAAAAAATAAATGGGATATTTTGGGATTTCAGATAATTTAAATCTCAGAATGTTTCCACTTTTTCTCATTAAATTATGACCTTATTCTCTGAATTTTTTCTGCTCAAATTTAGACTTTCTGACTGAAAATACTGAGAATAAAGTTGAAATATTCTGAGTTTAATCTATCTGCAAAAATAAAACCATGAATGAGCCGAACCCTCCGTCCTGACATTGCTCCATCTATTTTCTGTACATTATTTATTTTGCTTCTGTTTTCGTCCGATACTTCAGCCCCAGACTCTTGTAGATAAAACTGTTTTGTTTCTCTGTACGTTCCAACGAGACCAGGTCTAAGCTCCATCTCCCCAGACGCTTCCTCCAAACCCAAACCAAGTCAGAAACAAGCTTTGAATTCTGAATCATTTAATAATTCTCCAGCGCAATTTCTAATCTCTGTTCATACAATGGTTTTTCTAAGACTAAACTTTTTACTCTTGGTTTGATAACAACTTTAGTTTTCTGTGTCTCGGTGTAAACGGCTGTGAATGTGCCAAGATTTGAATGTTGTCTATAAACATTTGGACTGAACTGTTTTTACGTCTTTTATCTGTTTTTATATGGATCACATTTGATTAGATTCAACTTTATTGTCATTGTAACAAAATACAGTTTAGCATCTAACAGGAGTGCAATATCGACTAACCAGGAGTGCAATATCGACTAACCAGGAGTGCAATATCGACTAACCAGGAGTGCAATATCGACTAACCAGGAGTGCAATATCGACTAACCAGGAGTGCAATATCGACTAACCAGGAGTGCGATATCGACTAACCAGGAGTGCAATATCGACTAACCAGGAGTGCGATATCGACTAACCGTATTTGCAATGTTGTCGAATCGTAAGTGCAATTTTGACTAATGAATAGTGCATGGTACCCTAACCACAGGTGCAATATCGACTAACCACAGGTGCAATATCGACTGACCACAGGTGCAATATCGACTAACCACAGGTGCAATATCGACTAACCACAGGTGCAATGTCCACTAACCACAGGTGCAATGTCCACTAACCACAGGTGCAATGTCCACTAACCACAGGTGCAATGTCCACTAACCACAGGTGCAATGTCCACTAACTAATAAGTGCAATATTGTCTAACCGCAAGTGCAATATTGTCTAACCGTAAGTGCAATATTGTCGCAAGTGCAATATTGTCTAACCGCAAGTGCAATATTGTCTAACCGCAAGTGCAATATTGTCTAACCGCAAGTGCAATATTGTCGCAAGTGTAATATCGACTAACCTAATATTAGATAAAGTATATAATATTTAATAATGTGTCAGGGACTAGGGGCGACTCCCTTGGGAGGTCTGTTGTGTCCTACCAGGAGGAGACCGGGAGGAGGAGACCGGGAGGCCTCAGGATCCCCCCAGATGAGCTGGAGGTGTGGAGAGGGAGGTCTGACTGCTGCCTCTGTGACCTGGCAACGGATGAAGCGGAGAGAACTAGAGAGAAGGAAATGGATGGTGTTGTTACTATTAGTTGTTATTGTTATTACTATCATATTTTTTATCAATATAATTTTATATGATCATTATTGCTATTATTATTATTATTATTATCATCATCATCATCTTCCCCAAAGTCCTCTTATTTCTACGGTTCCTGTAGATGTGTAAATTCCACATCTGCACGTGCGCCTCCTCTCGTCTTTACGGTAATCCGAACCCGGAAGTAGCACTGGCTCCCGTGACAAAAACACTTGCGATTCTTTATTTATTAGTATCCTTCGGTATCCTCCTGGCTCCTCTCCCTCCCCCGCGGACCGGAGCAGACCGGGGTCCCCTCTGTGCTGTAGCCGCCCCACGGTGAGAGGCCTCGGGTCGGCCGCAGGATGGCGTCGTGCACCGGGATCCAGGCTCTCCAGGCGCTCCCCGGGACCCAGGGCTTCCAGGCGCAGCTGTCGTCCATCATGGATCTGCTGCTGCGCTCCGCGGTGGCTCAGATCTCCAAACTGATGGAGGAGAAGTGCTCCTTTCTGCACCTGGAGATCTCCCGCAAACAAAGCGAAAACGACGCACTCCAGAACCGCGTGCGGGCGCTAGAGAGCAAGAACGCACTGCTGCAGCAAGGACTGGGTACAACGCACTCTGTTTACTCTATGTACTCTATATACTGTTATTTCTGTTATGGTATTATAGCCGTTATAGAATCCTGTCTCATTCTGTTTTCATCCAGAGCAGTCAGCTGTTTATGAGTCTAATGCAGGGTTCAAACTATAGCCCCGTTTCCACCAACTCTACATGGTCCTACTATACTCTTCTCTACATAGACCTTCTTTACTCTACTCTACTCTCCCCTGACTGGGAGTGTTTCCTGGTTGTGTGTAACCAGTACCAGGTCCTTCTTTAGTCCCTCTTGGTCCTGGTTTTATCCAGGCCGAGCTGGTTCTAAAGTGTTCTAACCAACAGAGAGCTGCTCATATCAGTTGAAGAGTGTTGGGACCATAAAGACTGTAAATATGACATTATTATGTGTAAAATGTCCCTGTTTTTACAGAGAAATACCTGGAGCGCGGCCTCTCTGTGGGAGACATGAAGGTATTTCACATTTCTCTTTTTAACTGAGGTCCTCCAGAGCCTTCAGTCCTGAGTCTCTCCTGAAATGAGATGAAATCGATGTTTCTGTGGTTCAGGCAACACGGTGGCTGAGTGGTTAGCACTCTTGCATCCCAGCAAGAAGGTCCTGGGTTCAAATCCCAGTGGGAACAGGGGATTTCTGAGTGGAGTTTGCATGTTCTCCCCGTGTCTGCGTAGGTTTCCTCCAGGTGCTCCGGTTTCCCCTACCTCTAAAACATGTACAATAGGTCTGTGCCTCCTGTACTGGCCCCTCCCATCTCTGTGTGGAGAGACTCTGGTCTGTGAAAGGCGCTATATAAATAAACATTACTTACTTCTCTAAACATTGTTTTCTTCAGTTTTCAGACGTGGAGATCAGTTCTTCGTTCACAGTGAAAGAAGAGAATCCAGACGAGTTGTGGATCAGTGAAGCAGCTCAGACCGGTGAGGATGAGGATGAGGAGGATGAGGATGAAGATGAAGATGAAGAATCGTACTTATGTAGCACTGGTTTGGACTCTGTCTGTGGTCCTTGTGTTATCGCTCTTATATTTTGGGAGACTGCCCCCTAGTGTTAAACCCATGAACATACATCACTCCAGAAAAAACCTGTAGATTTTTGGAGTTTTCAAGAGATTTCTGTAAATTAAAAATGAGCTGCAAAAGTGGTTTTACGTTTTGGCCATAAACACAAATATCATAAACTTCAAAATCACACTCGGCGTTAAAATCATAAATGACCTCAGGGCATTAACATAGTAAGGGCACTGTGCAGTACGAGATCATCCGAGACTGTTATTTAGACCTTTTTTCTTGTTTTCGAGGTTCGGCCGCTGCCTTCGCCGCCGACTCCGACGATCAACGCTTTGAGAAAAACTGTCGTCAAACGGACGAAGCCACGCGCTCCGAAAACCTCTCGTACGACCACAGCCTGAGCTTCAGCGTCAAAACGGAGAAGGACGAACACGGCCCCGGGTTCCGCCAGGACAGCTGCCAACACGGCGCCAAACCCGCCTCCATCAGCGACTACTCTGTGGACGACCACAGCGGCGCCTTGTGGGAAATCGAGTCCAGCTTCCCGGACTTCTGCAGCGTCGTGGACGAGTATTCCAGCGCGTACTCGGAGCAGGATGCTAAAGCTAGCAGCATTCAGGCGTTTTACAACGAGGAATTTACAAAAGACGCTTCGCAAATGGCGAGTTTCCAACAATCCTCAGGCGCCGCGCTTCTGCAGGAAAACGAACAGAGAGATGGCGGCGTTTTTGAGCAGAGCGGCTTCAGCGCGGCGCCGGGTCTTTGTGGCAAAGTGACGCGCGGCTTCCTGTGCGCGGCGTGCGGGAAGACGTTCCCACGACTGCAGCAGCTCAAGCTGCACCAGCAGAGCCACCGCAGGAAGCGGCTCTTCTCCTGCGCCGTCTGCGGCAAGAGCTTCATGTGTTCATCGCATCTGCGCATCCACCACCGCACGCACACGGGCGAGAAGCCGTTCGTCTGCTCCGTCTGCGGCAAACGCTTCACGCAGCAGAGCAGTCTGCGCGTGCACCAGAGGACTCACAGCGGCGAGCGGCCGCACGGCTGCGCCGAGTGCGGCAAGACCTTCATCCTCATGCACCACCTCAAGCGCCACAAGGTCATCCACACCTACAGCGGCTAGCATCACCTACGGCGGCTAGCATCACCTACGGCGGCTAGCATCACCTACAGTGGCTAGCATCACCTACGGCGGCTAGCATCACCTACGGCGGCTAGCATCACCTACAGTGGCTAGCATCACCTACAGCAGCTAGCATCACCTACAGCGGCTAGCATCACCTACAGCGGCTAGCATCACCTACAGCGGCTAGCATCACCTACAGCGGCTAGCATCACCTACAGCGGCTAGCATCACCTACAGCAGCTAGCATCACCTACAGCAGCTAGCATCACCTACAGCAGCTAGCATCACCTACAGCAGCTAGCATCACGCACTGTACAGCGGCTAAAGCGGTCCGGGATCTCAGATGTTTGTGATGTCACATGATAATGATAATAATGCAGTGGTCGATGCTTCACATGTCAGAGGTCATCACTATTACTACATGTGGAAGTCATAAAGCTAAGCAGGTCAGGGCCTGGTTAGTGCTGTGATGGGAGACCTCTGGGAACAGCAGGTGCCACAGTGGGGCGGCTGCGGCTGTAAAGTGCCAAACTGTGGTTGTGTCCTTAGGCAAGACACTTCCCCCACATTAGAATGAGTCTGGTGTGTGGTGGGAGGGGCTTCTGTCAGTGTGCCCCAGGGCAGCTGTGGCTACAGTAGTAGTTTATCATCACCGTGTTTGGAGATGATGATGATGATGATGATGATGATGATGATGATGATGATGATGATGATGATGATGATGATGATGATGATGATGATGATGATGCAGCAGCAGCTTATAGTCCGGACTTGATGGTATCTGTTTAGCTCCTGAAAGGTCAAAGACTAGCTGTGGTGAAGCCGCTGGAGACGACATGTTACACTCGGTGCCGCAGTGAGAAGGTCCTGGGTTCGATTCCAGATCTTTCCGAGGTTAGTTTGCATGTTCTCCCCATGTTTGCGTAGGTTTCCTCCGGCTGCTCCGGTTTGCCACTAAAATCATGTACAACAGCTCTCTGCTCTCTCTGGGCCTCGACTCCCCTGAAAAAGAGATCCTGAATCTCACTGGGATTTTGTGGTTAAAGAAGATCAATAAATAAAAACATTGAGTTTTTGATGAAAAAAAAAAATAAACAAATTTTTCACTTCATGCTGTCGTTTATTTATCAGTTTAAAATAAGGCAATATAAAAACAGAACAGATGTAGAACAGACCGAGCCCGGAGCACAGAGGCTCTGATGAGAAACATGGAAAATTCAAACACGTTTCATCAGAACCTAAAGAGTCCGATCTTTGTCCATTTTTGGGTTTTTTACTTTTGGACCATGTGACTTTTCTTTCCTTTGTGTAAAAATGTAATTAATAAATAATTAACGTTTTCGGAAGTTTGTGTTTGACATCAATAAATTCAATATTCTCCTTTAAAAACATTTAAAAGACATAAAAAAGCAGCTGATTGTGAAGTTTTATTTCATTTAGTTTGATTTATTTACAGAACAAAAGAATGTTTAGTATTTTTATTTTATTTTATTTTAGAATGATTTTTTTATTTTTTGTGACGTCATTTTTAGCTGCACCTCGTGTCTGTAATAAAGTTTAATAATAATAATGTTGCAGACCAAACTTCAGTGGCGTCAAACTCGATCAAAGCCAAACTAGAACTTTTCATCATTAAAATAAACTAGAAACTTGCAATGGCTGAAGCCATTGCGATTGACTGCGGAACAGATCTAATGTGGAAATCTGCTAAAAAAAATCCTTGAAATCCTTTAAAAAGCCTTGAAACTGTTAAAATACTTGATAGATATTTGAAACTCCTGAAGTCCTTGAAATTGTTGAAACCTTTAAACTCCTGAAATCCTTGAAACTGTTGAAACATTGAAACTCCTGAAATCCTTGAAACTTTTTTAAACCTGGAAACTGTTGAAAGTGTGGAAACTCCTGAAATCCTTGAACCTCCTGATATCCTTGAAACTGGTTAAATTCTTAAACAGCTGAAATCCTTGAAACTACTGAATGTATTGAAAGTGTCCTTGAAACTGAAAAATCCCCTCACCGCTGAAACAATTTGGTTCCTGTAACTAAGGAAACCTGGTCTGTGGTCATTATCTGGTGGTGGTCTGAGTCTTCGTTTGGGTCTTGGTCTGGTGGTATAATGCAACCTATTAGGTTGCATTATACATGAAAAAACCCTATTAAGTTGCATTATACTGGTTTACATGGAAAAATCCCTATTAAGTTGCATTATACTGGTTTACATGGAAAAATCCCTATTAAGTTGCATTATACTGGTTTACATGGAAAAATCCACATTAAGTTGCATTATACTGGTTTACATGAAAAAAACCCTATTAAGTTGCATTATACTGGTTTACATGAAAAAAACCCTATTAAGTTGCATTATACTGGTTTACATGGAAAAATCCCTATTAAGTTGCATTGTACTGGTTTACATGGAAAAACCCCTATTAAGTTCCATTATACTGGTTTACATGTAAAAAAAAAACCCTATTAAGTTGCATTATACTGGTTTACATGGAAAAATCCCCATTAAGTTGCATTATACTGGTTTACATGAAAAAAAAACCCTATTAAGTTGCATTATACTGGTTTACATGAAAAAAACCCTATTAAGTTGCATTATACTGGTTTACATGGAAAAATCCCTATTAAGTTGCATAATACTGGTTTACATGGAAAAATCTCCATTAAGTTGCATTATACTGGTTTACATGAAAAAAACCCTATTAAGTTGCATTATACTGGTTTACATGGAAAAATCCCTATTAAGTTGCATTGTACTGGTTTACATGGAAAAATCCCTATTAAGTTGCATTATACTGGTTTACATGAAAAAAACCCTATTAAGTTGCATTATACTGGTTTACATGTAAAAACCCCTATTAAGTTGCATTATACTGGTTTACATGGAAAAATCCCTATTAAGTTGCATTATACTGGTTTACATGGAAAAATCCCTATTAAGTTGCATTATACTGGTTTACATGGAAAAATCCCTATTAAGTTGCATTATACTGGTTTACATGGAAAAATCCCTATTAAGTTGCATTATACTGGTTTACATGGAAAAATCCCTATTAAGTTGCATTATACTGGTTTACATGGAAAAATCCCTATTAGGTTGCATTATACTGGTTTACATGTACAAATCCCTATTAAGTTGCTTTATACTGGTTTACATGTAAAAACCCCTATTAGGTTACATTATAGTGGTTTACATGTAAAAATCCTTATTAAGTTGCATTATACTGGTTTACATGTAAAAACCCCTATTAAGTTCCATTATACTGGTTTACATGTAAAAACCCCTATTAAGTTCCATTATACTGGTTTACATGTAAAAACCCTATTAAGTTGCATTATACTGGTTTACATGAAAAAAACCCTATTAAGTTGCATTATACTGGTTTACATGGAAAAATCCCTATTAAGTTGCATAATACTGGTTTACATGGAAAAATCCCCATTAAGTTGCATTATACTGGTTTACATGGAAAAATCCCTATTAAGTTGCATTATACTGGTTTACATGGAAAAATCCCTATTAAGTTGCATAATACTGGTTTACATGGAAAAATCCCCATTAAGTTGCATTATACTGGTTTACATGGAAAAATCCCCATTAAGTTGCATTATACTGGTTTACATGGAAAAATCCCTATTAAGTTGCATTGTACTGGTTTACATGGAAAAAACCCTATTAAGTTGCATTATACTGGTTTACATGGAAAAAACCCTATTAAGTTGCATTATACTGGTTTACATGTAAAAACCCCTATTAAGTTGCATTATACTGGTTTACATGGAAAAATCCCCATTAAGTTGCATTATACTGGTTTACATGAAAAAAACCCTATTAAGTTGCATTATACTGGTTTACATGAAAAAAACCCTATTAAGTTGCATTATACTGGTTTACATGGAAAAATCCCTATTAAGTTGCATTATACTGGTTTACATGAAAAAAACCCTATTAAGTTGCATTATACTGGTTTACATGAAAAAAACCCTATTAAGTTGCATTATACTGGTTTACATGGAAAAATCCCCATTAAGTTGCATTATACTGGTTTACATGGAAAAATCCCCATTAAGTTGCATTATACTGGTTTACATGGAAAAATCCCTATTAAGTTGCATTGTACTGGTTTACATGGAAAAAACCCTATTAAGTTGCATTATACTGTTTATTATGTAAAAAAAAAAAACCCTTACTGAGACTGGGTTTCAAAAAATCCCCAGTAATTCATGATACCCTATTAAGTTGCATTATTACTGTGGTACAAATCCATATTAAGTTGCATTATACCTGGTTTACATGTTAAAAAAAACCCCTATTAGGTTTTCATTACATGGAAAAAACCCTATTAAGTTGCATTATACTGGACCACCCACCTCAAAGGACCTTATTACCATCACCCGCCTCAAAGGATCCTCAACACCTCACTTCATCAAAGCAGCTGCATCATCACCATAGCAGCACCAGCAGCACGACCACCACCACCACCACATCCTCATCCTACCGCTCCAAAGCAGCCACGCCTTCTTGCTTCTACAGCGCCTGTCTGAAGCCCCCATACTCCTCACCCCAGGCTACAGCAGACACGGCCTGTGCTGGGTTCCTCAAAACTCACCTGCCCCTCCATCAAAGACTCCCTCGCCACCGCCCATGGACCTGTCTGGGTCCCCCCGCCACGGCCACTCCAACAAGAGAGAATGGGGACACGTCCCTTTGTTTTTCATCCCCGCCTTCACTTGTTAGACCTACCTGAACACTCTGCAGGGCTAATAAAATCGGCGATGAAGACTATTCCTCTCACACCCATATTAGCTAGATCTAGAGTCCTGTCCAACAATGCTAAACCACTCTCCCATATGTACCTCCAAAACCACCTAGGGTTTCCAATTCACCGACAAAAACCACCCTCACGCCAGTCCCTCTCCCGAACCTCATGACCATTCCACCCCCACTTCCCCCTCGTTTCAGCACCCCAAACCTCGGCCTCAGCCCACTCCCGGCCCTAACCCATCACCAAAAAAAAAACCCCTCCACCTCCCTGCCCCCCTCGTTCAAACACCAAAAGCCACCCACCTCTCCATCCTCCTCCCCCGCCTTCCCCTTCCCCTCTTTTCTCTAAACACTAAGGATGCACAGGGTCTCTGCGTCGCAGCCACGGGCAGTCTAGTTAGAGGAGAGACCCGGCTGGGGCCCGGGTCATGAAGCCCACCTGGGTCATTCCCAGTAAGTGATAACACACAGAATACATTACAGAAAGACATCTGGAGTTAATATGTCTAATCTGGAAAATCTAATTCTTGTTCCGTGTAAGAATCAGCCGACCACAACCGCTGATACTGAAACTTTGAAACTTGCTACGCTTAATGTCAGATCTCTTTGTAACAAGTCTTTTTTAATCAATAATTTTATTTGTTCTCATAATCTTGATCATTATGTTCATGGCTGAAACTTGGCTTGACCAAAATTCAGAAATGCAGTTTTAATAGAATGCATCACCACCAAATTTCAAGTTTGAATCTGAAATACGGGAAAACAAAAAAGGAGGAGGCTTAGCTGCCATTTTCAGAGACCACTTTGTCTCCCATAGAATGTCTCTTGGGAAGTTTTCGTCTTTGAATATGTGTCTTTTAAAATACAACAAAAACAATCTCCTCCAATACTCTTCATTGTCCTATACAAGCCACCGCAGTCATGTCACAGTTTTATTGATAATTTTACCGAGTTGCTTTCAGTTGTATGCACAGATTTTGATAGTTTGGTTATTACAGGTGATTTTAATATTCATGTGGATAATGTTGATGACAGAAATGCAAATGAGCTGAGTTCTGTACTTGAATCCTTTGATCTCACTCAGCACGTAAGTGGCCCCACCCACAGCAGAGGGCACACTCTAGATCTGTTAGTTACTAAGGGGGTGAATATTTCAAATGTAAACGTGGTCGATGTTGCTCTTTCGGATCATTTCTGTGTTTTTTTGACATGTGTTTCACTAACAAACCACCAGTGGACTCTGCAACTGTACGAAGAAGACACATAAATGAAAATACGAGTGAACTATTTATGGGAATGATAAACTTTGAGAATGCATCGTATTCTACTGTAGATGAACTGTTTAACTCTGTCACCTCTAGTGTTTTGAATGTTCTGGATACCGTTGCCCCTGTGAAGGTTAAAATAGTGAAAAATAAGCAGAAGGCGCCGTGGGCTAAAGCAGACTCGGTCAGGGCACAAAAGAGAAAGTGCCGAGGGCCGAGCGAACCCAAGTGGCGCAAGTCCCAACCTCCAGGTTGATTACGAGATCTCAAAGATAATTTGTGCGAGTTTAACCGGGTGCTACGTAGTACGAGAGAAAGGTATTTTTCTGAAATGATTGAAGGCTGCAGCAACAATCTGCGTGTTCTGTTTTCAACAGTTAATAGATTAACAAACCCCCCTGTTCAAATGCCATTAGAGCTTACGTCCTAACGTAAATGCAATGAGTTTGCAAATTTTTTCAATGACAAGGTTCAAGGCATCAAAAACGCCATTGTCTCCAATCCACAGATAACCCATCCAACAGCCAGAAAGGCTCTCTGAGCTAACTCACTTTGCACCTGTAAATGATAAAACTGTCCAAGAGATAATCTCCAGTTTGAGCACCTCCACATGCAGCTTGGATGTACTACCCACTAGATTTCTGAAGTCTGTTCTGAGCAGTCTGTTACCTTCACTCACACAGATAGTAAACATGTCCCTTCATTCTGGAATATTCCCAAAGGCCCTGAAAACTGCAGTCATCAGGCCCCTGCTAAAAAAGAGCAGTCTCGATGCTACGGTACTTAACAACTATCGTCCCATCTCAAATCTGCCATTTATGGGGAAAGTCCTTGAAAAAGTTGTCTACCTACAGCTTACTAGATTTCTTATAATCAACAACTCATTTGGATATGTTTCAGTCCGGCTTTAGACCCCACCACAGCACTGAGACTGCTCTCGTCAAGGGTTACAAAACGATATCCGGCTGAACACTGACGCAGGCAAAGTCTCAATCTTAATCTTGTTAGATCTAAGTGCTGCCTTTGACACCGTCGACCATGAGATCCTCTTACAGAGACTAGAGGACTGGGTTGGAGTCGCTGGCACCGCCCTAAGTTGGTTTAGGTCTTACCTTGAGGACAGGAAGTACTTTGTGGAGATTGGAAACTGTGTCTCAGATCATATGGCCCTGACCTGTGAGTACCACAGGGGTCGATCCTGGACCTCTTCTGTTCAATCTCTACATGCTGCCGTTAGGTCAGTTAATACGCAGAAACGAAGTTTCCTATCATAACTATGCAGACGACACTCAGATCTATGTCTCACTTGACTGCAGGAGAACATGGACCAGTGGACTCACTCCTTCACTGTATCCAACCAGATCAGCGAGTGGATGCAAAACAACTTCCTTCAGCTAAACCGCAGACAAAACTGAAATGAATTGTCTTTGGTCCCCAGAAACAAAGAGAGAGCGTCATCTGTCACCTACAGTCTCTCTCCCTAAAACCTTCAAACAAGGTCAGAAATCTAGGGGTAATACTGGACTCAGACTTAAATTTTAATAGCCACATCAAATCAGTAACATCAGCAGCTTTTTACCATCTAACGAATCATTGCCAGATTCAAAAACATAGTGCTAAAGCAGACTTGGAGATTCTAATCCATGCATTTGTCTCCAGTAGGTTAGACTACTGCAAATGGCGCCTGCACACAGGTCTGTCCCAAAACAGGCTGTAAACAGCTGCAGTACATTCAAAATGCAGCAGCTCGAGTCCTGACAAGAACCAGGAAGTACGACCACATTAGTCCAGTCCTCAGGTCTCTGCACTGGCTTCCTGTGGCTCAGAGAATAGACTTTAAAACAGCTCTGCTTGTGTACAAGTCTCTCCATGGCCTCGCACCAAAATATATTAGTGACATGTTAGTCCCATATGAACCAGCCCGGACTCTGAGGAGCACAGGGACTGGACTCCTGTTAGTGCCCAGAGTCAGAACTAAACATGGGGAGGCTGCTTTTCAGATTCATGCTGCTAAAATCTGGAACAGTCTTCCTGGAGATGTGAGACAGGCCTCCTCTCTGACAATGTTTAAAGCCAGGTTAAAGACAGTTCTGTTTAGCTGTGCATACAACTGAGGGATTTTATATTTGTATCTTTCTTTTTAATGTTCTGTGATTATTTATGATTTTAATGCTTTCTTGTTTTGTTCAGCACTTTGAATTGCCTTGTGTAGTTACCTCAGTTCAATGAGTGTTTGGTGCAGTAATAATAAAATGTTTAAACAAACTTGATCAAAAAGTACCTCTTTCTGTCGGCGCTGCACAGACTCTGAACTTCCCATTCTCTCTGGTCTCTCTCTGGTCTCTCTCTCTGGTCTCTCTCTCTGGTCTCTCTCTCTCTGGTCTCTCTCTCTGGTCTCTCTCTGGTCTCTCTCTGGTCTCTCTCTGGTCTCTCTCTGGTCTCTCTCTGGTCTCTCTCTCTGGTCTCTCTCTCTGGTCTCTCTCTCTGGTCTCTCTCTCTGGTCTCTCTCTGGTCTCTCTCTGGTCTCTCTCTGGTCTCTCTCTCTGGTCTCTCTCTCTGGTCTCTCTCTGTAGTGACACCAGCACAGGGGTAATGGTCTCTCTCTCTGCTGGTTGCCAGATAACGCTCCCGATGCGTGTCTTTAAGCTGATGGGCGTTCAGACCATGATCATGACCAACGCGGCCGGAGGACTGAACCCGGACTACAGAGTGGGCGACGTCATGATCCTCAAAGACCACATCAACCTCCCGGGTCTGGGCGGGACCAACCCTCTGATGGGACCCAACGAAGACCGGTCTGTCCTGGTCTCACACACATACTACACACATGCTACACACATACTACACACATGCTACACACATGCTACACACATGCTACACACATACTACACACATGCTACACACATACTACACACATGCTACACACATACTACACACATGCTACACACATGCTACACACATGCTACACACATGCTACACACATACGTATTACACACATAATACACACATGCTACACACATGCTACACACATACTACACACATGCTACACACATACTACACACATGCTACACACATACTACACACATGCTACACACATACTACACACATGCTACACACATACTACACACATGCTACACACATGCTACACACATGCTACACACATACGTATTACACACATAATACACACATGCTACACACATGCTACACACATACTACACATATGCTACACACATACTACACACATACTACACACATACTACACACATGCTACACACATACGTATTACACACATAATACACACATGCTACACACATACTACACACATGCTACACACATACTACACACATGCTACACACATACTACACACATGCTACACACATACTACACACATGCTACACACATACTACACACATGCTACACACATACTACACACATACTACACACATGCTACACACATACTACACACATGCTACACACATACTACACACATGCTACACACATACGTATTACACACATAATACACACATGCTACACACATGCTACACACATACTACACACATACTACACACATGCTACACACATACTACACACATACTACACACATGCTACACACATGCTACACACATACTACACACATGCTACACACATACTACACACATACTACACACATACTACACACATACTACACACATGCTACACACATACGTATTACACACATAATACACACATGCTACACACATGCGACACATATGCTACACACATAATACACACATGCTACACACATGCTACACAACTCTCACACATGCTACAGACATGATATACATATCTCTCACATGCTACACACATGCTACACACATGCTACATACATGCTACACAACTCTCACACATGCTACAGACATGATATACATATCTCTCACATGCTACACACATGCTACACACATGCTACATACATGCTACACAACTCTCACACATGCTACAGACATGATATACATATCTCTCACATGATACACACATGCTACACACTTGCTACCCACATGCTACACACACCCTACACACATGACACACATATGCTACACAACTCTCACACATACTACACAACTCTCACACTTGCTACACAACTCTCACATGCTATGGCAACTAGTACCAGGTCTTCTCCGGGGGAAAACCAACCTGACTCGGCTGAAAACCAGAACCACAGGTTTTCAAATGAATGGAGTCAAAAAAACTGCTTTGGGAGTTACAGCTGAAAACAAAGATATTCACAGAGAAATAAACCACACAATGACACAGAGTCACACACACAGAGCCACACACACTCACACAGAGTCACACACACAGAGTCACACACACAGAGTCACTCACACAGAGTCACTCACACAGAGTCAAACACACTCACACAGAGTCACTCACACAGAGTCACACACACAGAGTCACACACACAGAGTCACACACACAGAGTCACACACACAGAGTCAAACACACTCACACAGAGTCACTCACACAGAGTCACTCACACAGAGTCAAACACACTCACACAGAGTCACTCACACAGAGTCACACACACAGAGTCACACACACAGAGTCACACAGTCACACACACAGAGCCACACACACTCACACAGAGTCACTCACACAGAGTCACACACACAGAGTCACACACACAGAGACACACACACTCACACAGAGTCACACACACAGAGCCACACACACTCACACAGAGTCACACACACAGAGTCACACACACAGAGTCAAACACACTCACACAGAGTCACACAGAGTCACACACACAGAGCCACACACACTCACACAGAGTCACACACACAGAGTCACACACACTCACACAGAGTCACACACACTCACACAGTCACACAGAGTCACACAGAGTCACACACACTCACACAGAGTCACACAGAGTCACACACACAGAGTCACACAGAGTCACACTCACAGAGTCACACAGAGTCACACACACAGAGTCACACACACAGAGCCACACACACTCACACAGAGTCACACACACAGAGTCACACAGTCACACAGAGTCACACACACAGAGCCACACACACTCACAGAGTCACACAGAGTCACACACACTCACACAGAGTCACACACACTCACACAGTCACACACACAGTCACACACACTCACACAGAGTCACACACACTCACACAGTCACACAGAGTCACACACACAGAGTCACACACACTCACAGAGTCACACACACTCACACAGAGTCACACACACTCACACAGTCACACACACAGTCACACACACTCACACAGAGTCACACACACTCACACAGTCACACAGAGTCACACACACAGAGTCACACACACTCACACAGAGTCACACACACAGAGTCACACAGAGTCACACACACTCACACAGAGTCACACACACTCACACAGAGTCACACACACTCACACAGTCACACACAGAGTCACACACACTCACACAGAGTCACACAGAGTCACACACACACTCACACAGTCACACAGAGTCACACACACAGAGTCACACAGAGTCACACACACAGAGTCACACACACTCACACAGAGTCACACAGTCACACTCAGTCACACACACACAGAGTCACACACACACAGAGTCACACAGTCACACAGAGTCACACACAGAGTCACACACACTCACACAGTCACACACACTCACACAGAGTCACACACACTCACACAGAGTCACACACACTCACACAGTCACACACAGAGTCACACACACTCACACAGAGTCACACAGAGTCACACACACTCACACAGTCACACAGAGTCACACACACAGAGTCACACAGAGTCACACACACAGAGTCACACACACTCACACAGAGTCACACAGTCACACTCAGTCACACACACACAGAGTCACACACACACAGAGTCACACAGTCACACAGAGTCACACACAGAGTCACACACACTCACACAGTCACACACACTCACACAGAGTCACACACACTCACACAGTCACACACACAGTCACACAGAGTCACACACACAGTCACACAGTCACACACACAGTCACACACAGTCACACACACAGTCACACAGAGTCACACACACAGAGTCACACACACTCACAGAGTCACACAGAGTCACACACACAGAGTCACACACACTCACATAGAGTCACACAGAGTCACTCACACAGAGTCACACAGAGTCACACACACTCACACAGAGTCACACACACTCACACATAGACACACACACAGAGTCACACAGAGTCACACACACTCACACAGAGTCACACAGAGTCACACACACTCACACAGAGTCACACAGAGTCACACACACAGAGTCACACACACTCACACAGAGTCACACAGAGTCACACACACTCACACAGAGTCACACACACAGAGTCACACAGAGTCACACACACTCACACAGAGTCACACACACTCACACAGAGTCACACACACTCACACAGAGTCACACACACACACAGAGTCACACACACTCACACAGAGTCACACACACAGAGTCACACAGAGTCACACACACTCACAGAGTCACACACACTCACACAGAGTCACACACACAGTCACACACACTCACACAGAGTCACACACACAGAGTCACACAGAGTCACACAGAGTCACACACACAGAGCCACACACACTCACACACACTCACACAGAGTCACACAGAGTCACACAGAGTCACACAGTTTAAAGGAGCAGAATGAGTCGTCACGTTTCTAAAGCCGTCCATGTGACTGCTGTGGAGCTCTGAAGTTAAAGCTGTGGTCTCTAACTTTGTCTCGCAGGTTTGGGCTGCGGTTCCCGTGCACGTCAGACGCCTACGACCGTGACCTCCGCGCTCTGGCGCTGTCCGTGGGGGCGGAGCTTGGGTTCGGCGACCTGCTCAGAGAAGGCGTGTACTGTGTCCAGGGCGGGCCCAACTTCGAGAGCATCGCAGAGTGTCGCATGCTGCGCATCATGGGCGCGGACGCCATCGGTCAGTCACACACACGGCTACACACATGGGTACACACACAGTTACACACACGGGTACACACACAGTCACACACACGGCTACACACACGGCTACACACACAGCTACACACATGACTACACACATGGCTACACACACATAGCTACACACATGGCTACACACACGGCTACACACACACTGAGACACACACGGCTACACACACGCTGAGACACACACGGCTACACACATGGCTACACACACAGTTACACACACGGGTACACACACGACTACACACATGGCTACACACACGGCTACACACACGGCTACACACACGGCTACACACATGGCTACACACACGGCTACACAAGCTGATACACACACGGCTACACACACAGTAACACACACGGCTACACAAGCTGATACACACACGGTTACACACATGGCTACACACACGCATACGCACACGGTAACAGACGCTGAGACACACATGACTACACACACAGTTACACACAGCTACACAAACAATTACATTTTTGGTGGCACTTTACATTTTTTGGTGTGTGGGATGTCAGTTGGTGTGTGTGACGTCGGTTGGTGTGTGTGTGAGACGTCAGTTGGTGTGTGTGTGACGCCAGCTGGTGTGTGTGACGTCAGTTGGTGTGTGTGTGACGTCAGTTGGTGTGTGTGACGTCAGTTGGTGTGTGTGACGTCAGTTGTTGTGTGTGACGTCAGTTGGTGTGTGTGTGACGTCAGTTGGTGTGTGTGACGTCAGTTGGTGTGTGTGACGTCAGTTGGTGTGTGTGACGTCAGTTGTTGTGTGTGACGTCAGTTGGTGTGTGTGACGTCAGTTGGTGTGTGTGTGACGTCAGTTGGTGTGTGTGACGTCAGTTGTTATGTGTGACATCAGTTGGTGTGTGTGTGTGACGTCAGTTGTTATGTGTGACGTCAGTTGTTATGTGTGACGTCAGTTGGTGTGTGTGACGTCAGTTGTTATGTGTGACGTCAGTTGTTATGTGTAACGTCAGTTGTTATGTGTGACGTCAGTTGTTATGTGTGACGTCAGTTGGTGTGTGTGACGTCAGTTGTTATGTGTGACGTCAGTTGTTATGTGTAACGTCAGTTGTTATGTGTGACGTCAGTTGGTGTGTGTGACGTCAGTTGTTATGTGTGACGTCAGTTGTTATGTGTGACGTCAGTTGGTGTGTGTGTGACGTCAGTTGTTATGTGTGACGTCAGTTGGTGTGTGTGTGACGTCAGTTGGTGTGTGTGACGTCAGTTGTTATGTGTGACGTCAGTTGGTGTGTGTGACGTCAGTTGGTGTGTGTGTGACGTCAGTTGGTGTGTGTGACGTCAGTTGTTATGTGTGACGTCAGTTGTTATGTGTGACGTCAGTTGGTGTGTGTGACGTCTGTTGGTGTGTGTGTGACGTCAGTTGGTGTGTGTGACGTCAGTTGTTATGTGTGACGTCAGTTGTTATGTGTGACGTCAGTTGTTATGTGTGACGTCAGTTGTTATGTGTGACGTCAGTTGGTGTGTGTGACGTCAGTTGTTATGTGTGACGTCAGTTGTTATGTGTAACGTCAGTTGTTATGTGTGACGTCAGTTGGTGTGTGTGACGTCAGTTGTTATGTGTGACGTCAGTTGTTATGTGTGACGTCAGTTGGTGTGTGTGTGACGTCAGTTGTTATGTGTGACGTCAGTTGGTGTGTGTGTGACGTCTGTTGGTGTGTGTGTGACGTCAGTTGGTGTGTGTGACGTCAGTTGTTATGTGTGACGTCAGTTGGTGTGTGTGACGTCAGTTGGTGTGTGTGTGACGTCAGTTGTTATGTGTGACGTCAGTTGTTATGTGTGACGTCAGTTGGTGTGTGTGACGTCTGTTGGTGTGTGTGTGACGTCAGTTGGTGTGTGTGACGTCAGTTGTTATGTGTGACGTCAGTTGTTATGTGTGACGTCAGTTGTTATGTGTGACGTCAGTTGGTGTGTGTGACGTCAGTTGTTATGTGTGACGTCAGTTGTTTTGTGTGACGTCAGTTGTTTTGTGTGACGTCAGTTGGTGTGTGTGACGTCAGTTGTTATGTGTGACGTCAGTTGTTTTGTGTGACGTCACTCTGAGCCAGTGATATGAACCCATCCAACTCTCACACACGCCCCAGCAGCAGTTGGAGTATTCTGGCGACATATGGTGGATTAAAATAAAATTACATGAGTTAAAGCCACTGCTGCTGAGATCATTCAGTGTCTTAGGTTCAGGTGTGTAGCTCTACAATTATTTTAGTGTGTAAACAAAGGAATGAGACTTTCTGGTGTAAACTACTGCTTTAATGGTAATGACAACTGTCTGCTTTTTATGTGTGACAAGTGAGCTGTCAATCACAGCCCAGACCACGCCCAGTTCTAAGCCCCCCTTCTTGTCCCTGGTCCTCAGGCAGCGCGCTTTTTAGAAACAACTTTCAAATGTTCATGTGGGCGGAGTCAGGCAGTTCATGTGGGTGGAGTCAGGCTGTTCATGTGGGCGGAGTCAGGCTGTTCATGTGGGCGGAGTCAGGCTGTTCATCTATCTAATCTAATCTAATCTTTATTTATATACCGCCTTTTCACTGCAGATCTGAGTCTCAAAGCGGTTTACAATTGTTAATTTTTTATGGGCATTTGTCTCTCACTCCACACAGAGATGGGAGCGGGGCCAGTACAGGAGGCGCATGCTAGAACTATTGGACATATTTTTAGTGGTAGGGGAAACCGGAGTACCCGGAGGAAACCTACGCAGACACGGGGAGAACATGCAAACTCCACTCAGAAAGGCCCTGGTCCGACCGGGATTCGAACCCAGGACTAGGCCTGTCGCGATAGTCAATAAATCAATTAATTGCACGATAAATAAAATTTGCTCAATAACTTTTCTGGCCGCGATAAATCCCATTTGCAGCTTGTTTGTTTCCCCCGTCTCTCTCGGGTCAGAGAGCCGCGAAGTGGTCACGGGAACATTAGCGGTCTAGCAAGCAGACGGAAATTACTCAAAAATACAAAATACAGCCAAAACAGGACCTAAACCAGGACTTAACCAGGATTGACAATGGGGGACACAGTAGTTGTGAACATATGCCGGCAGCTGAGTTCTCATTCAGGCTTGATTAGTGACTATACTAGCGCAGCTAGCGTTAGCGCGTTCGCCGATGCAGAAGTACCGTACCAATAAAATAAACTTATGGCGCACCTCCGTGAACACATACTGCTGTTATATAAAGTCTCTAGAAGGTCTCTGAACACAGAGATGCTGCAGACTTGCATTCTTGGGAGTAGAACTTTACACAAAAAACCCGCTAGCTTAGCTGTTAGCATCAAAGCCCGCCCCGCTACTTCCGGTGGGCGCTACCGCAGCAGGACTTCTGTACGCCCCATTGGTGAACCCACATGTCAGTCACTTGTCATTCGCCTGGTGTGTCTTAAGCCACACAAAGTCAACATGTTGGTATTTCTTTCTCGTAATCTGCCATAAAGTCTGAGAAATTATTGACATTTGAGGCATCTGTTTCATATTTTCTTTACAAAGGTCCAGGCAGTTTTATTCCTGGTCATTTTTTGTTAAGAGACTTGAGTATTTTATTTATTGTTTTTGGTTGTTTGTAAATTTATTGTGTTCTAGCGTTAAATATTTGTTAAAAATAAAAGTTTATTTCTCTTTGAAAAGGTGTACCTGCATGATCATTGTAATCGATGCAAATGATCTCAGAACGCCAATATAATCGCTTATCGCAATAATTTCTGAGACAATTAATCGTCCAGCAAAATTTGTTATCGTGACAGGCCTACCCAGGACCTTCTTGCTGAGAGGCGAGAGTGCTATCCACTCAGCCACCGTGCCGCCTGGGTGGCTGTGGGCCACCCACTGGAACCCACACAGCAGTCATTTTGACTTCTAGCATCTGAATGAATGGAATTATGGAAACATCACAGAGAAAAGTTCGTGTTGGCGGAGTCAGGCTGTTCATGTGGGCGGAGTCAGGCTGTTCATGTGGGCGGAGTCAGGCTGTTCATATGGGCGGAGTCAGGCTGGGCACAGGGGTTATGTTGTCCTTTAAGGCTCTAAGGACAGTGAGGGTCCAGGACTTTGTTTTATTTAAACATCGTCACTTATGGACCAAAGAATCTCTGTGTTTATTGTTGCTGTGATGGTTCTTTGGAAACGACATTTGTCTTTAGTTTCTCTTCTGATCGAATAATAATTAAAACTATAAAATGAACCAAAACGTTGCAGTGTCTAGTTGGAAAAGACAATCCTTTAATGTGGAAATAACAGAAAAACAACAATAAAACATGAAGTGAGTGAATGAAAATGAGACGTTTCTGCAGTGACACTTTGAGATGGTAAAAACTGTATGACCCCTGCAGACCTTAGACCTCAGACCTCAGACCTGGCCCAGACCCGGTTCTTATAGGGAAGTGCATTATTTTGATAATGACACACAGAGCTTAGACTCTCAGCGGTCACTTCCTGTTGGGACCAGCTCTATCTTTAGACCGAGCTTCGCGGGCGCTGTCCATGGTCCTGACAGACCCTCCATCGTACGTCAGACAAAGACTTGACAAAACCCACATTTCAGCACTTTCTGTTTGTAAGCCTACAGTGTGTGTTGCTGTACCTAAAGTGTGCGTCTCTGCAGGCATGAGCACGGTGCATGAGGTGCTGGTTGCGCGTCACTGCGGGATGCGCTGCTTCGCCCTCTCGCTGGTCTCCAACATGGCCATCATGGATTACGACTCTGTGGAACGAGCCAATCACGACGAGGTCCTGGAGACGGGCCGCCTCCGAGCGAAGCAGCTGGAGAGCCTGGTGTCGGAGCTGGTGGACCGCATGGAGACGCACAACACCTGCTGAACGCACAACACCTGCTGAACGCACAACACCTGCTGAACACACAACACCTGCTGAACACACAACACCTGCTGAACACACAACAACCTCTGACTCAGACTAAATTATACACATTTCGACGCAACTGTAAAAAAGTTTTATATTTATTACATTAAATATCCAAAGAAGCCATAGTTTGGCACTTTACAGCCGCAGCCGCCCCACTGTGGCACCTGCTGTTCCCAGAGGTCTCCCATCACAGCACTACCAGGCCCTGTCCTGCTTAGCTTCAGAGGTCTGACTGGATGTGGCTCTTCCAGGGGAATGCTGAGGTCCTCCCTTGGTCCTCTCAGTGGGACAGATCAGAGCCACCTCCACTGGTTCCTCTGCACACGGAGGAGCAGCGACTCTACTCCGAGCTCCTCCCGTGTGACTGAGCTCATGTGGAGTTTGTTTCCACGGTCTTGTCCTTTCAGTCTTTACTCAAAGCTCAGGACCAGAGGTGAGGGAGAGCTCTGAGTGCAGACGCTGCTCCCTCTGCACCACAACAGTCTGATAGAGCTCTGAGTGCAGACACTGCTCCCTCTACACCACAACAGTCTGATAGAGCTCTGAGTGCAGACGCTGCTCCCTCTACACCACAACAGTCTGAATGAGCTCTGAGTGCAGACGCTGCTCCCTCTGCACCACAACAGTCTGATAGAGCTCTGAGTGCAGACGCTGCTCCCTCTGATACTAAGATTATTATTGATCTACAAATCTGTCAAATATTAGTTCTTTTTTCAGTCGATTTCAGAAGGTTTTAGGTTTTTGATCCGTCACAGAAACAAACTTTTGAACTGAATCAATGAAAAACAGAAGTTTGTAGTTTGGAAAAGAAGATTAAAAAACCTCAGAAATGTTTTTAATTCAGTGTGAAGTCAGATTCTCACGACAGCTTCTTCTTCTGCGGCTTATTCAAGTAGATCTGACACACGCACTTCCTCTGAGACTGAATCAATAATAATTAAATGATCAGTATTTTTAACTCTGATGGTTTTAAAAAACAGATTATTTTTGTAAAAACTCTACAAAACTTTTTTTGTCAAAATTCACTTTTTTCCGCTTAAATCGTTAAACTGTAGTTTTTTGTTGCGTTTACGTGTTTTTAACTTAATAACTTAAAGAGTGAAGATTGGTTTGTGTCGTTAAAGGAGAAGCACAAAGTTACACACTGCACCTTTAACACAGGACTCACCTGCACCCACTGGAACCCACTCAGCAGTCATTATGACTGCACCCACTGGAACCCACTCAGCAGTCATTATGACTGCACCCACTGGAACCCACTCAGCAGTCATTATGACTGCACCCACTGGAACCCACAGCAGTCATTATGACTGCACCCACTGGAACCCACAGCAGTCATTATGACTGCACCCACTGGAACCCACTCAGCAGTCATTATGACTGCACCCACTGGAACCCACAGCAGTCATTATGACTGCACCCACTGGAACCCACAGCAGTCATTATGACTGCACCCACTGGAACCCACACAGCAGTCATTATGACTGCACCCACTGGAACCCACTCAGCAGTCATTATGACTGCACCCACTGGAACCCACAGCAGTCATTATGACTGCACCCACTGGAACCCACTCAGCAGTCATTATGACTGCACCCACTGGAACCCACAGCAGTCATTATGACTGCACCCACTGGAACCCACAGCAGTCATTATGACTGCACCCACTGGAACCCACACAGCAGTCATTATGACTGCACCCACTGGAACCCACAGCAGTCATTATGACTGCACCCACTGGAACCCACTCAGCAGTCATTATGACTGCACCCACTGGAACCCACAGCAGTCATTATGACTGCACCCACTGGAACCCACAGCAGTCATTATGACTGCACCCACTGGAACCCACACAGCAGTCATTTTGACTGCACCCACTGGAACCCACAGCAGTCATTTTGACTTCTCTGTGATGTTTCCATAATTCCATTCATTCAGATGCTAGAAAAGTTTTAAAAACTATGTACGTGTTGTTTATCTTTATTACAGGATAAAACTGGTTAAAACACAGAGTAAACATGTGTTGCTATGGTAACGAGCACAAGGTCGGAACCAGTCCAGGACCAGTCTAGGACTATTTTAGGACTAGTCTAGGATTGAGATAACAAAAGATCTAGATTAAGAAAAAAATTAAAAGTTTTGAAAATCTAAAACCTACAAACCCAGAGTCTGAACTTCCAAAACAAAAACCAGTCAGATTGACTACTGTGGGAAACAGTCAGATTGACTGCTGTGGGAAACAGTCAGATTGACTACTGTGGGAAACAGTCAGATTGACTACTGTGGGAAACAGTCAGATTGACTGCTGTGGTAAACAGTCAGATTGACTGCTGCGGGAAACAGTCAGATTGACTGCTGTGGGAAACAGTCAGATTGACTGCTGTGGGAAACAGTCAGATTGACTGCTGTGGTAAACAGTCAGATTGACTGCTGCGGGAAACAGTCAGATTGACTGCTGTGGGAAACAGTCAGATTGACTGCTGCGGGAAACAGTCAGATTGACTGCTGTGGGAAACAGTCAGATTGACTGCTGTGGGAAACAGTCAGATTGACTGCTGTGGGAAACAGTCAGATTGACTGCTGTGGGAAACAGTCAGATTGACTGCTGTGGTAAACAGTCAGATTGACTGCTGCGGGAAACAGTCAGATTGACTGCTGCGGGAAACAGTCAGATTGACTGCTGCGGGAAACAGTCAGATTGACTGCTGCGGGAAACAGTCAGATTGACTGCTGTGGGAAACAGTCAGATTGACTGCTGTGGGAAACAGTCAGATTGACTGCTGTGGGAAACAGTCAGATTGACTACTGTGGGAAACAGTCAGATTGACTGCTGTGGGAAACAGTCAGATTGACTGCTGTGGTAAACAGTCAGATTGACTGCTGCGGGAAACAGTCAGATTGACTGCTGTGGTAAACAGTCAGATTGACTGCTGCGGGAAACAGTCAGATTGACTGCTGTGGGAAACAGTCAGCATTGACTGCTGTGGGAAACAGTCAGATTGACTGCTGTGGGAAACAGTCAGATTGACTGCTGTGGGAAACAGTCAGATTGACTGCTGTGGGAAACAGTCAGATTGACTACTGTGGGAAACAGTCAGATTGACTGCTGTGGGAAACAGTCAGATTGACTGCTGTGGGAAACAGTCAGATTGACTACTGTGGGAAACAGTCAGATTGACTGCTGTGGGAAACAGTCAGATTGACTGCTGTGGTAAACAGTCAGATTGACTGCTGTGGGAAACAGTCAGATTGACTGCTGTGGGAAACAGTCAGATTGACTGCTGTGGGAAACAGTCAGATTGACTGCTGTGGGAAACAGTCAGATTGACTGCTGTGGGAAACAGTCAGATTGACTGCTGTGGGAAACAGTCAGATTGACTGCTGTGGGAAACAGTCAGAGCTCTGGTGATAGAATGTGGCATTTCTTTGATCCTAACTGTTTTGTTACTGAAGCTTTTTGTACCAATAAACTTGAGATGAAAGAAGTTTGTGTGAGATTTGTGATGTCACATCTTTTCCTCAACCTTGGATTCAATGTTCGTCTTCATTTTTATTATTAAACTTTTTTTATTTTATTATTATCAAACGTCATTGCTAAAAACAGGAAATAAAATGTGCTCCCATCTCAGCACTAACCAGACCCTGCCCTGCTTAGCTTCAGAGATCTGACTTTAACATTCAGTAAACTACTACTACTACTACGGTCCTGGGTTCGATTCCACCTTCAGATTGTTCTGTGTGGAGTTTGCTTGTTCTCCCTGTGCAGGATTCCTCCAGGTGCTCCGGTTCCCACTATAACCATGTGCATGGGTCTGACATGTGACCTGCGAGAGACAAACGCCCAAAAACACAACATTTGTAAAGAGCTTTGTGTCTCTGTGAAAGGCGCTACGTAAATAAACCTGACTTTTACTGATACAGAGACTGTTTGTAAAGGACCAGAAACAGTCGGGACCAGGACGACACCAAACACACGACGAGTCAATGTGGCGGATGTTTAGGTTTAACCCAAAAGTCTATTTAAGTAAAAGTTCAGAAGGACTTTTGTTATTTACTCACATCTGATTATCCAGACCAGGAGACCAGAGAGAGACCAGAGAGAGACCAGAGAGAGACCAGAGAGAGACCAGAGAGAGACCAGAGAGAGACCAGAGAGAGACCAGAGAGAGACCAGAGAGAGACCAGAGAGAGAGAGACCAGAGAGAGACCAGAGAGAGACCAGAGAGAGACCAGAGAGAGACCAGAGAGAGAGAGACCAGAGAGAGAGAGACCAGAGAGAGACCAGAGAGAGAGAGACCAGAGAGAGAGAGACCAGAGAGAGACCAGAGAGAGAGAGACCAGAGAGAGAGAGACCAGAGAGAGACCAGAGAGAGAGAGAGACCAGAGAGAGAGAGACCAGAGAGAGACCAGAGAGAGAGAGACTAGAATTATTCCAGAGAGAGAGAGAGACGACAGAGAGAGACAGTCAGAGAGAGAGAAGAAAAAATATTCAACATTTTTTAGAGAACGATGGAGCACCAGTGAGTTCTGCACCAACTCCCACTGATGTCCAGCTGAGAGAGATACTTAACTCCACTTTGCCTGAAGCCCCCGCTGAAAGACAAGGCTGTGCTCTCTCAGAGCAGACTGTGATCCCCAGAAATGGACCCGAAGGGGAAGAAAATGGATGGAAATATAATCTTCAGTAGAAAATCTTTGGTAAAACACGTTTGAAGGGTTTAAAATGTTTTTCTCTTGAAATGAGAAATAACGTGGAGGAGGTTGATCCATGGATCCTACTGAGAAAGTCTCTGCTGCCATCTGGTGGACACCAGAGAGAGACCACTTATCTTGTGGTCTGCATTATTTATATATGACAAAAAATGAGGGTTTCTGATGTTGATGAGGCTGCATTAAAAGACAGGATTCTTGTGTAAAGTAAACATTTATGATAGTTGTGTTGGTGAGAAGCTGAT